CGAAACCATCTTTAAAAAACCCTGAAAATTTTTTTTTGGGGGGGGCCACCCCCCCCCAACTCTGGAGTAGGCACATGGCAGGTTCAGAAGGACAGTGGTTCAGATGTTTATTGCCCGAACCACTACAAGTAGAAAATGCCATTTTAAATTTTACATGCTATTTAAAGCTTGGTAGCAAGAAATAAGGGGCGCTTGCTATCAAGAACTGCTACCCATCAAAGTAAATGGTTGGCCTTCTCTCCAGCATTCCTCTTTTCTAATCCAGTGACTTGGCTTTGAATGGTAGATGGAAACCGTTCCTTAGAACATGGGCAAAGTGCTTGGATGGGGGTCGAGCCCTGAAATAAAAGTTTATATCTTGGCAAGGTGAGGGACGAAAACCTGAAAGGGCTAGGTGTGTTTATCCAAAGGACGAGAAGGCTAAAGTGCTTGTCGCACATAAGAGGAACACGGCTTTTTCTGCTTTGGTTACAGACCACGGGAGCCTGATCAATAAGGAAGTAGATATTTTATGTTAGTAAAAACTTCCCAGCCTTTTGACAGGTAGCAGTTTTCCCTTTGCCCAGTAGGCTTGGGGTGCTGCAGCAACGTTCGGCTTTGGGGAGGGGGTCAGACTAGATGATCTCAAGGACATTTTCCAGTTCTGTGATTGTCATTTATATCTTTTTTTCTTCTGGAACACTGACCTTGCAGCCTAGAGCCTTTTCAGATGTGCACTTTAAAAATCTCTACAACCCAAACGGCTCTCTGTGAGAATTAGGAATTGAAACTACAGAGAATGAGAGTCAGGCTTGGTATTAGGAGGAATTTATTGAAATTAAGCGCTGTCAACCAGTAGGATGGGTTGCCTCTTGATGTGGCAAATCCCCTTGGGTGAAGGTTTTCAAGACACAGGCTGGATAGCCTTTGGTCCACTGAGCAAGGGGTGGCCAGATGCCCTCAGGGGTCTCTTCGACCCCGATGATTCCCTTAAAGGGAGCTTGAATCTAACCATGCTGCTTATTTATTGCCCTGGACAGGCAGGCTTCCATTTTGTGATCTCCTTGGGCCCCCGTGCTTTGGTGTGCAAATGTGTGTGTATTGGAAGGGAGAACGGCAGTGCTTCCCCTCCCTGTGCACCCATCCCATTTGGATGAGGGGGGAGGCCAGAGGGGGAGCCAAGCAGCAAAGGAAGGGACATATTGGCACTGCCAAGAATCTTGTGGCATGGAAGGGCCTGGCCACGGAGTGCTCCAGTTTTGGGGGGGAGCTGACGCTGAGCGTGCGTGAGTCATCCCACAAGGGAGGTGTCCAGGGAGATCTCCGCTAACCTAAGATTGGTCTCTGACGTCAAAGGAATCTGGAGGAGAGCAGAAGGGAAGGGAAGGAGGGAACCAGGGCCCTTGGCAAGCTGGAAGTGCCAAAGCTCCGGGAGAGGAGAAAGGTGCCAGTCTTATCCGCAGTGGGCGGGGAAGGGGTAAACAGATGGAGGTCTTAAAATGGCCAGCTCTGCCAATCCAGAAGCAGGGGGCGAGTTCTCTGAGCCATGGATTTAGTTCACTGCCGAAAAAGGATTCTGTCCTGGGTGGAGGGGGGTGGCGAGGATCATGTCTGGACAGGTTGGTTCAGGAAGATTTCAGTGATCCCCTCCGGGGTGGATGCACGGCCTGGGGATTTAAGCTCCTTTGGCTAAGAAGAGAGTGCGCTCATTGCGGGCAGGTCCGGGTGGCTCTAGAGGGAGGGCGCCACGGTCCCCTCTCTGCCGTGCTTGGCATGGCTATGCCTGGGCTGGGTTCCGTTCCCACCTTTCCACTTTATGCAGAATGGGTGTTGTGGGGGGGGGGAGTTGTTTCCCTCGGTGGCCCGCCTTGCAAGGCCGGCTGCTGCGGTTTGTCCCTTTCTGCAAAGCGGAGCCGAAAGAGAGAAGGAAGGATGCAGGAACTCCCCTCTCCCCCCACCCCCCGGAAACGTAACCCTGTGCTTTTCCTGGGTGGTGTCCTGCTTCGTCTCTGAAAAATAAAAAAAGATCTGTGCCGTTTGGCAGAAGCCGGGCTTGAAAGACAAAGGAGCCGAGAGCAGATCTTGGGGGCTCCTCAAGCCAAGGACCCCCAGTCAACCCTTTCTAGCTTTTTCTTTTTTGCATATGGTAATTGCCATCTGTGCTGGCTGTTCCGGGGGAGAACAAAGGGATGATTTGCATTCAGAGACCAAGAAGAGGGAATTCCGGGGGGGGGGGGGGGGGGGGAGAGCTGAAGCACATCAAAACTGTGTGCATGCACGTATGAAGATGGAGGGGCTTCTGCAGCTGGTGCTCTTGTTCTCCTTAAAGGAGCCCCCCCTTTCCCCCCTGCTTTTTAATCGCTTGCGGTATGCCCTGTCTTGGGTGGGTGCCCAGTGGTCTTGAGGTGCTGCCAGCGGGGGCGGGCGCCTTGCGCATGGGGAGGCAAGTGCAGATGTCGTGACTGCTGTGAGGGTGGCAGGGAGATGGCCCGCTGGTACGAAAGCCCTTGTGCCTCTGCCCATCTGGAATTTCGTGACTGGCAGCATAAAGGCAGGGCCATCGGAGCCCGGGAGACGGAAGAATGGGGTGCAGGATTGGGGGGGGGAAACAGCCAGGCCCTGACTGATGCCCCGTTTTAGAGTTACTGGTCATGGGGACCCACGGTTTAAGGCACAGGTCCCGCCTGGTTAGCCCAGAGTGACAGCGGCGTCCCCAGTCTTCTGCCCCCAAGGGCCGCACTCTGTGTGCAGCCCATGGGGGTACTTTGGGGGGTGCTTCGTTTGTCCCCCAGACCTTTTAACCAGGCAGTCCCATTTATTGGTGGCAAAGGCTCTTGGGGGCAGTCTTCCCCTCCTGGGCACAGGGTGGCAAGCCTAGATAGATTGCGATCTCTTCCCCCGACGGAGCTAAGAAGAGAGCGAAGGTTTGGATTTCAGAAAGAAGAGTTTGATCACTGCCTTCCCCAAGCTGGTGCCCCCCAGTCGTACTGGATTGTTATTTCCATCTACCTCAGCCCATGCCCTGTGCTGGCTGAGTGCCATGGGCATTGTAGTTCAGCATTCCTGGAGGGTGCCAGCTTGGGGAAGCTTTTTCTATGGCAATTCGGCACGGATCGTGATTGCGTTTGGAGGTTAACGGTCCTGCTCAGTTCGTGCCTTTTAGATCCACAAGCGGATCTAAACTCTTCATGCTGGTTGCGATCCAAGGCTCATATCCCTCCAGCTGCATTTTGAAAAGCCTTCCAGCACCCCTCTCTCTGGTTAGGGTTCGGGGGTAGAGTACCCCTGTACACGACGGTTCCATTCCTGGCTATCATCGCAAAAGAAGAGACCTTCCTGATCGCCATGATCCTTTGTAATCACACTGAACCTTCCTGGATTTTAAAGCCAGCCAAGTAATCGCAGTCCGTCTGTTTAAAGAAGGATTTTTGTTGGCCAGAGAGTCCCGCAGTCGGGATCCTTTAACCTAATCAGAACAGGCCTCTGGTCTCAAAAAGGGTGCATGTTTCAGCTTGAGATAATAACACGAAAGGGAGGAGCAGAGATGTGAGCTATGCAGTCACGCTTTGTTCGGCTGGGGGTGGCGAGTAGGGGTGCGCTCTGCACATGCTCGGGTGCCCTCTGGATAGAATAGGGCCTATGGTAGGGCTTTTCTTTCGCTCTCTCCCTCCCTGTTTTTTTGTTTTTTTTTTAAACAAAGACTTTCTTTTCTTCTAAACCCCTACCAAGCTGCTTTGGCTCCCTCCTCCCCCCTCCTTTTTCCTACCTGGTGTCCGAAACTCGCTACCTTACCTTCCCACCCACCTCTTCCTCCTGCGGCTGTTCTGCTGCGCACAGCCGCCTCTTGGCCACCTTTCCTCGAGCTGCTGTTCCCACGAGCTTCTCAGAAACTCCCCCCCTGTCAGAGCTTCCGTTCTTTGCAGCGAGGCACGCGCGGAGGGGGAGGGAGGGAAAGGCAGAGGTGGGAGAAGATTTGCAGCAAGCTTGGGTGTCGAGCTGGAGGCATGGATCCTGCATAATCAGGGTGGCCTTTCCCTCTCTCGCTTTGCTGACGTTTCTGCAGAGGCGAAGGAAGAGGGGAGGGGGGTGCTGATCATGCAGTAACAGGAAGCAGGGAGTTTGAAGGCAGGACCGTCCTTTTCTCTGCATGCTTCGTTTTCAGAGGCGGCAGGTTTTCATCTGGCACCGTCCGACGGGCTCGTGAATCATTTGCGGTGGAGGTTGCCTCCCTCAACAACCGTCCTTACCGTCCTCCGTCTCTTGTACGCGGCGCTAGCTGAAGGATGTTGCTTCCTCCATAAGATCTAGCAGCTTGCTGGGTCCGTATAGGGTTGAAAAAGTGGTTCAGCTGGAGGCTTGAAAACAGGAGCACCCCATGACGTGCGTGAGGTGCCGAAGCCCTGTTTTGCATACCCTCCCTGGTCCCTTTTCACCATGGTAAAAAAACAGGCGCAGGTGCCAAGACACAAAAAAACAATTAGTGCAAGCCCTTGGTGCCCACATCAGCCCCTGTGGCCTTTTCCCCTCCCCAAATCTTAAATCTGGGCCACCCCATTAAAAGTTTGATCCTCTTTCAGAGACTGCCTTCTTCCTGCTTCTCTGCAGACCTCCAGCCAGTTGGGAAGGGAAAGGACGGCTAGACATCTAACCCAATATTTTTCTTCTCCTCTTCCCCTCCCCAACACCACTTTGCCAGTTCTGATGGCAAGGAGAACCTCCCAGTCCAGTTTTCTCTTTTCTTTTCTTTCTTTTTTAAAAACTCCACCCTTCAGCTACAAGCCCCACCTGGTTCAGCAAATATTTACTGCTCTGTGTTCCCCAGCCACCCTGCGTCCGCCAGGCCAGTTGCTCTCCCTCCTGCTCTGAAGGTCCCTCAGGTGTATTCTGGTCTGCCTCTAAAGGGGAAGGGAAGATAACTCATCCCAGCTGGGAATTGCTGCAGAAGTCAAGGGAAAGGGGAAATTCTTTCTTTCTTTCTTTCTTTCTTTCTGGCCTCTTCTTCTGCATTCAGCAGCTGACGGGGGAGAAGTTCAAGCCAAACAACCACCCAGCCTTCTCTTGAACTGTTGGTGCAAAACAGCAACTTCAGATCTGGGTGCCGCGTCTCTTATTTTGAGGATCACGGTAGCCGTGCAACCACAGGCCACCTGAGTGCTCCGAGCAAATAATGCAGTGTTCCCACAGACTTTGTGTATTTTCCTTCGTGCTTTGGGGCTTTTTCCCTGCTTTTGGGACCATGGACTGGGAGCAACGGAGGTGCACCCAGCGCCAGAGTTCAGAAGCCCCCTCTCTTAAGACAAGAAAGGGTCCAGGAAGTCTTAGACACGCTTGCAGCTGTAGTGTTTGCAGCTGTAGCATTGCCACCAGAAAGGCTAGTAACTTAAGGTTTAATCCTGCACCTGGGATGATCAGGTGCAGGATTAATCCTGGTTGCTTTTGAGTCCTTAGGATTCCCAGGAAGAGCTTTGTCCTCGCGCGAAACTTCTGGCTTAAAATCAGCCGTCCGGTCTGACCTCTCCACTTGCTGTTCTCTTTTCCAGGTAAACGACTTCCTGTCCGGGAGGTCCCCCCTGACCCTTGCCCTGCGGGTGGGCGATCACATGATGTTTGTCCAGCTGCAGCTCGCAGCTCAGCAGAACAGCGGGCAGCTCCAACACCGCCACGTGATCGCCAGCCGTGGAGAGCAAGCCGGAGGCACGACCGCAACCATGCCGGTGCCGACAGCCGGACCGGCCGCCTCCAGTTGCCGCACCCTCCACGGGGGCAGCCCCACGTCCTCCACTTTTGCCCGACTCCCCACGGCGCCCACTTGCCCGCAAAGCCCTGTGCCCAGTCCTGCTGCTTCTCCGTCGCCAATGCAGACAATGCCGCTGTACTGTACCACCGCTAACCCAACGCCCGTCACAGCAGGGATGTTCCACTCGCACGGGGCCAGTGCGCAAACAGTCAACGGTGGGGGGAGTGGCAGCGTCCTTTCTTCGTGCTCAGAGGTCAGTTGTGGGGTGCTTGGCGTGAAGGGAGGGGGGTTGGAAGCCCCGAGGGTGGAGCATGAACAGAAAAGGCTGAAATCCAGACCCTTTGGCGTTGAGGAGACTTGGAAACCTATGGCAGCCTTTCTCCCCACCAATTAGCATCCAGGGATGTGGGGCAGGCTTAAAACAGATCCTCACAAGGGGTAGAATCAGTCAGTAGTCCCCTCTGCTCCCCCCGCCCTCTCGCAAACCATGAAATTGTGCATTGTGTGATTTGTGCTATGGACAATTGCGGAGTGTTGCATTCCGGATCGCTAAAAAGGCACAGCCTTCCTTTTATCTCTGGTGGCTGCAAAGCGGAGCAGATGATGCCGGAGGGAAGAACCTGGACCCATAGCTGGGATGAGGGTCTCCCTTTATTTATGGGTTAGCTTTTTATCCCACCATTCCTCCAGAAACCTGGAGTGGCTTATATAGTGTGCCCTCCTCCCTGTGTTTCCCCCCAAACGACCACCCTGCAAGGTAGGCGAGACTTGAAGCTGAATCTCCCGTCATAGTCCAGCTCTTTAATCATTGCGCCCCACTGCCTTGCCCACTTGGCCTTTGATCTGGGTTGTTCTTACAAACACCCTCTGATTCAGAAATCACCCTCTTCTAAACCTTGGCTCCTTTACACATGCATTATTTTTTCATGGCATAATCTCCCTCCTAATGAATCACTGGAATTGCTTCATACCAGGGAAATTCATAGCCGGGCGTTGCTCTTCGTCTGTTATATGGGTTGTTGTGGCTCGCTCAGCTTAGTCTGTAACCGTTTGCTCGTCTAAGTCTGCCTTCTCAAACCCGGTGTGTTGGAACTGCAGATCCACAGTTCCCAGAATTCCCCAGCCAGCCATTTTAGAGGGCTGCCTCGGAATTCTGGGAAACGCAGTCGCAATGTATCCGGAAGGTACCACCCGATGAGGCTGGGTTAGGATAGCCAAACTGATGGCTGCGACTCTCCAAACTTGCAGGCAGAAAAGAGTCTTCCCCCTAATTTGCTACCCAGTCCTTTTCAGTGGGAGTTTGGGGATTGAACTTGAGACCTTTCACATGCAGAGGAAAATTGATCCGGAGGGAGAAGGAAAAACAAAGAGTAAACTTCAGCAGTCGTGTTTGCTTCTAGAGATGTCTTTCTGACAGGGAAGAGCAAAACTGGCTTCCTCTCCAACTGACTTAGGGCATCACAAGGGTTCTAGTCCACCTTGGCCCTTGCCCAGCGAAGAAGCCTAGAGCGTGTGGCTTTTCTGTTCTGTTTTCTACCTGCCTCCAGAAAAGGTGGCCCGACAGCCTTCTCCTATCTGTTTACACCCCCATTTTCAGCTGAGACTGGGAAGGCTGGCACTGAACTTTTTCTGATCATAACACCTTCTCTGAAGATGGTTTGGGGAGAGTTTTTGCTCCTTGGAGCAGGGTGAGTCTCCAGCCCCTGCTTAGCATCTCCTCTTTGGCTTTTCCAGGTGGACTGCAGCACCCGGAGTAAAAGTTCGCCCAGCAGCAGCCCCACCCAGGCCTCCCGGACCCGCAAACACGGCGCTGTGATAGAAAGCTTTGTTAACCACGCCCCTGGGGTTTTTTCGGGAACGTTTTCTGGTATGTCTGCATTAAGTTTCTCTCTCTGCCCCATTTACTGCTTTCCACGGGAGGAAATAGGGGTAGAAGGTAATACATGCAAGCTTCGGAGTCCCACAGGGCTCTTAAATTAGATAAAGAAGCCAGTGACATTTCAAGTGCTTGCCTAGGTTTTTATTCTCCCAGCAAACATACCGGCTGCACTTGATGAGTTTATCCTTATCTAAGCAAAACAAGTTTTTGTTTCTTACCCCCAACCAACCGAACTCGCTGTGTCTTGATGGCAGCAGACCAGTTTAGATTCCAGAAGATCTCGTGGCTAACTGGTGTTAGCCCTGAGCACTCAGTAGTCCATGACAAATGCAATTCCTTGTGGGCTTCAAAACTGGCTTTTCACAGGTTTTTTTTTTTAATAAAAACACTTTCTTGGGTAGAAAAAGTTCTTGAAGCCTCAGCCATAAGGGAAAGAAGTATTTGGCTTAAAGAAAAAAAAAGTTGCACGTATTGCCTTCTTTTACACAAAGCTGAATGATAACCTTGAGCATGGGTCAGCAAACTATGGCCCGTGGGCCAAATCCGGCCCACAACATGTTTTTCTATGGGCCGTGAGTGGGTGGCTGGGTGGCTGAACATCAAGCCCGAGCCTCAGCTGAGCTCCCAGGCAGGGGGCAGGGCGTCCTGGGTGGCAGCACCCTACCAGCAGCCTCCTTGCAGGCGGGCTGGTGCTGCCCAATGACCGCCACTCTGCTTGGCCTGCCGACCTGCCAGCTGCACCCACAGACGCAGAGGAGGGGTGGGATCTGGCCCCTTAGAAAAAAATTTGCCGACCCTTGATGTGCAGGACCAGCAACTTCGCTGCTATAAACCAATACTGTCATTTTTCACTGGGATGGATTTTCTGCATGGCATCCGCTCCTGCCGTCACCCAGGAGGCAGGATTGTCTCCAATCCTCGCTCAGCCGTGGCCTGTTCTGCTCCCCCCCGCAGGCACTTTGCACCCCAATTGCCAAGACAGCAGCGGGCGGCCGCGCCGAGACATCGGCACCATCCTGCAGATCCTCAACGACCTCCTGAGCGCCACGCGGCACTACCAGGGCATGCCCCAGTCGCTGACGCAGCTGCGGTGCCAGACGCAGTGCTCCCTGTCGACCCCCTCCCTGGATCTCACCAATCACACTACCTCAGAAAGGACGGCAGCCGCTGCTAACCAGCCCTTGCACTTGGGGGTCCCGTGCCCGAGCCAAGCAGCCACCTGCAAGCCCGCTGGTGAGTCCGCAGACCCGCTCTTGGGGTCCCCACCTTGCTTCTCCTGTCCCCGTCTCTCTTGGTGTTGCAGGGAGGTGGAGGAACTGGTTGTTTTCTGCAGGAGAGAAGGGCCTTGAGCGGGGGTGGGGGCATGAGGGGGGCTTAATCTTGAGAGGGGCGGGGCCTATGCAAAGTGGGCAGGATCAATGATGGACAGAGTTGGGGTCTGGGTTGGGATTTTATTTATATTTCCAATTTGGACACTACCCATCTCACGAGAAGTGGCTCTGGGCGGTTTGCAATAAAAACAGCAAATAAGTATTGATTAAAATACAATAAAATGGTATAAAATACAATAAAGCCAAATGCATGCATAAATAATAATATCTTCCAAGGTGCTGCTGATAGAATGCGGGAGCATCTTCAAGGTGCCTTTTCCTCGTTCTCCAGGGGTTTAGAGCAGGGTGATTAACAATAATAACTATCCGTTATTATTGTCATCACAGTATCATTATTATAGTACTATTAATTAAAGTAGTTTTTCTTAAATTATTTTCATATCGTAAACGTTTGGGGGTTGATGAACAAGCTGAAACTTCACGAAGGAGTTGATGGGCTGAAATGTTTTGGGGACGCTGGTTTAGAGAGTGGGCAATTTAGTTTGGAGCTTTTCAGTTATTTAAGTTAGGTTATGCCTGCTTTTGGATTTGCAGCATCGTAACATCGGGCAACTGAGAGGGATGCTCTGCCAGTGAAACCCACGTTGCAGTGAATTTTTCTGGG